GTGCGCGCCCCTCCCCCGCCCCTCCCCCCTCAGATGAAGAACTCCTCCTTGCGCTTGGCCCCCTCCCCCCCCAGGAAGGCCTCGCGCGCCTCCCCGTGCTCCTCCAGCCCGCTGGCCTCGTGCGTCAGGTAGGAGCCTGCGGGCGGCGCCGCGTCAGGGCCGGGCGCGCGGGGGAGACGGGGGCAGGTGGGGTCAGGTGGGGTCAGGTGGGGGCAGTTCGGGTCAGTTTGGGGTCAGTCGGGGTCAGTTCAGGACGTGTCGGGGTCAGTTGGGGTCAGTCGGGGTCAGTCGGGGTCAGTTCAGGACGTGTCGGGGTCAGTTGGGGTCAGTCGGGGTCAGTCGGGGTCAGTTGGGGTCAGTTCGGGATGTTTGGGGACATTTTGGGGTCAGTTTGGGACATTTTGGGTCATTTTGGGGTCAGTTGGGGTCAGTTGGGGTCAGTTCGGGATGTGTTGGGGTCAGTTGGGGTCATTTTGGGGTCAGTTCAGGTCATTTTGGGTCAGTTTGGAACGTTTTTGGGTCAGTTGGGGTCAGTTTGGGATGTGTCGGGGTCAGTTGGGGTCAGTTCAGGGCGTTTTGGGGTCAGTTCGGGTCATTTTGAGGTCAGTTGGGGTCAGTTTGGGATGTTTTGGGGTCAGTTCAGGACGTTTTGGGACGTTTTGGGGTCAGTTGGGGTCATTTGGGGTCATTTGGGGTCAGTTGGGGTCAGTTCGGGACGTGTCGGGGTCAGTCGGGGTCAGTCGGGGTCAGTTCGGGTCAGTTTGGGGTCAGTTCGGGATGTTTGGGGACATTTTGGGGTCAGTTCGGGACATTTCGGGTCGTTTTGGGGTCAGTTGGGGTCAGTTCGGGATGTGTTGGGGTCAGTTGGGGTCAGTTTGGGGTCAGTCGGGGTCAGTTGGGGTCAGTCGGGGTCAGTTTGGGGTCAGTTCGGGACGTTTGGGGATGTTTTGGGGTCAGTTCGGGTCATTTTGGGTCATTTTGGGTCATTTTGGGGCGTTTTGGGGTCAGCTGGGGTCAGTTTGGGTAATTTTGGGGTCATTTGGGGTCAGTTCGGGACGTTTTGGGGATGTTTGAGGACGTTTTGGGGTCAGTTGGGGTCAGTTGGGGACATTTTGGGGTCAGTTCGGGTCATTTTGGGGTCAGTTCGGGCCCCGCCCCTTTTCCCACAATCTCAGCCCCTCTCCCCAAGCCCCGCCCCTCTCCCATCAAGCCCCGCCCCTCTCCCCATCAAGCCCCGCCCCTCTCCCCA